ACGGCGAGCAAATGCGGCCACCCGTCGAAGCGGCGGAGCAAAAGGGGGTTCGTCCCGGCGACGATCATCCCCTCCGTGGGGGCGAAGGGCAGCGCCTTGCCCATCCGCGTGAAGCGCGGGAGCTCATTGCTCTGCATGGTGAAGTAGGGGAACACGGCCCCGGTGTAGGGGATCGGGGCGATCAACGAGGCCGCCGCCATCGCGACCGCCGAGGCCGCTGAGGGGGTGGTGCTCAGAATAAAAAGCGGCTCGTGACTGAGCACCAGTTCCCAAAGATAGGTCAGGTGCGCCAGGTGCTCGCTGAACAGGTCATACAAGGGGAAAAGCGCCTGGGAAAAGGACAGGTGGGCGGAGACGTCAAACCCCATGGAGGTCCGACGCTTCATCAAAAAGGTGTGGTGGTCGAGAAAAAAGGGGGGTCGCTTGACGGCGTGGTGCTGCCATTGGTGGAGCTGGGTCCGTATAAAACAACTCGAACCGGTAATAAACACCAAAACCTGGTGAAGGAGGAGAACCTCGTAGCGTACTTGGGGATGGGGGGAGGGCCACCCGGCGATTTCCTTGATCGCCTCATCGAGAACCTGCTCTTGGGTGTACTGATCCGGGTTGAAACTCGGGTCCATATGGTAAAAATTGCACGGAAAAGGGGATAACGCGCTCGAGATGGTGGTTAACGCCGTATCTGGAGAAAGTGTACAACATTGCGCAAAGCGCGGGGCGACGGTGCGTAGAATAAGCTCGTGGACGGCGGTGTAGGGCAGTCGAGAAAGAAGAACGATGGCTTGTTGGACATAGGAACGCTGTACTCGGGTGTCGTATTTTTGTCTATAATACGCCGCACCGTAAAGTCTTGAAATGATGGCGCCTTTGCCAGGGTTCGAAACTACCGTCTCGGGTTTGACCTGTGCGGCTGCCTGCGTGCAATCTTCTAGACTAAAATTGAAGATAAAGTTGTGGCCACAATCCGAGTTGCAGTCTGGAAATGCATACTTGATGAGTTCACTCTTTCCACTTTCCGTAAGTGCGTCATGGGGTGTGATGTATTCAGCCTTCGGGCCAATATCTAAATCGAAACGAATATAAACGAAGCATACAGCCCAAACCGACATTTTGACAAAATAACGTAGGAACCTTAGGTTTACTTATTACTTTTTTTTTTCTAAGCTCAGATATAATAAACAGTATATTAATCTAAGCCTAGAAAAAAAAGCCTAAAAAACATGAAATAATTGTAAAGACAACAATCTAAAGATAATTCGTTCTATGTTGCTACTGTTATTTAAATTCCTTCTTCAGGCCACTTTCACACTTGACTGAAGTTCCCTCCCTATAACAAGATAATAAAAGGATAAAAAAAAATACTCTAAAATGGTTCCAGTCAACATCTTAGCGCCCAAAGATCAAAGAGAAAGTCAAATACCATAAAGAAATATTCTAGTAGTATATTATAAAAGCTAAACGAATAATACACTTATGGCATGTATAAGTAGATTAGTGAAGAAAATAGCAAGCATTACTCTAAGACTACGTAACAATACTAAGCAGTTTGGGTACCCAATAATTACATCCGTGGGGCATGTAAATCAAAAAAAAAGTAAAAAATCCTTTTTTCAACCTTCCCATAAAAATCAAGCACCTGCAGTAGTATTTTGGCAGTCACTTTTGTTGTTCCATCCATGCTGCTTAAAGAATTAGAACAACTCGAAAATGTCTTGGTCATTATAAACATTTTAGAGTCCTTTGGTGTGTATAAATGAAAGAAATGTTCGCTTTTTCTCAAGATAATATCGCTAAACAGATTTATCATGCTCAAAATGCCGTGTAGTGACAGTGATAGTTTCGTTCAAAAAAGCAACCACCCAGCTGGATCATAACCCTTAACAATATCACCGCGGCTCTACTGAAGCCCGTCTTGTTCTTCTACCTCTACTCTTCTACTTTCTACCTCACCTCCTATATGTTGCCTGATCCTTATTCAGTGATTCGCTTCCTTAGGAGGATGCATTATTCTAAGGCTTAGCCTGCCACACAGCCTGTGATGTTAAGAACCTCTACCGAAAACAACGATATTCAACCCTACAATTGCTCCTAGTCTCATGTTCTCCTCCTCTCTACCACAACCAAGCAATCTTGATGAGTAATTGACCCCTTGTGTTGTTCTCGCAAACTCTTGTGAATATGATAAATGACAAAGTGTACAATGCTATGCAGTCCCTTGTGTACTGACTTGGCTGTTTAATTCCGATCAAATAATAATGATACCATCACTTTGCAACTTCTACCATAAATGCTACGATTTATATATAATGTAAGTTTGTGTAGCTTAGGAGTACAATTTGATCAAAATCCCTTAGGTAGGTATCATTTTCTCCGCTACATGGAATAAGAGAAGACAACGTTGTCTTCTCTTAATTTTATAGAATGTTTGTTCATGGAATAAACCCATTTGCAAGCATGATGGCGCGGCTGGTGAAATTGGTAGGGTTGACCTTGACTTTTAACTTTAACTCATCCTTAATACCCAAAATATCATGCGCCACAATGTAAACTTCTAAAGCTCACAGAATTGATGGATTACTCCTCTAATAATTTGCCGTCAGGGCAATTAAACTTTAAACACCTGAAGAGTGCTACTACATATATAATATTATACAGTTAACATGGTGGAAATAGGGAAAAGAAGACGCCCGGAGTGATGGCACCCAAACAACGGACATAAATTCACTATTTACAGGAAAAATGTAAACGTAATTACGGTTTTACAGTGTGCTAGGTACGGCCTGATGTAGAATTTGCGGAAGAACACTTCCCTGCATACATGAAGGCACGTAAATGTACAGAAATATCGTCCACTACTGTACTAAGCGATTCTTGGAGGTTTTGGAGTTTATCCTTTTCAGAGCGCAACTTTCCGGAGTAACCAAGCGGGAGGTCGCCTCTAGGTGATTTCTTGTCCGAGTGTTCAGCTCGTAGCTCGAGATAAACGCTTTCGGGTATATTAAGCTGTCTAATCCGCTCCGCCAAAATCGACTTCTGCTGGTACAACTTTCTCAGAGAATTCTCGAGCTCTGCCCTAGACCTTCCACACAGCGTCGCCGGAAAGGGCGGAGCCTCGAATCCCGTCGTCCCCTCCGCGCCGTCGGCCCTGCCCCAATCCTCGGCGCGTGCCCTGTGCAGGGTGGCGTGCCCCGAGCTCGGCCGCGTGGGGTGGGGCGCGAGTGCCGTTGGGGCCTCGGCGCGGGTGGAAGGGGGGTGCGGCCCCCCCTCTCCCCCGTGCAAGGCGGGTCGGGGGGGTCTGTCACAGCCCCGCCGCCGTTCCTGGCCTGACAGGCGGGCGAGAGGGAGAGGGAGAGGGAAAGGGGGGCGCTGGCGGAGTGGAGGTGTGACAGGCCGTCCCCGCCGGCCCCGTGGGGCGGCCCCCCG